ATTTCAAACGTGCAAGTCACCAAAACACCACTGTGCAACACTGAGGCCACAGTTTGTATTTGACAAGGTTTGACATTTGTTCACAGTACACTCTGCACAACTACAAGAAAATGCGATATCTGTGATTCATGTTGTAAAGAAAGTATTGCCATTAAAGGCTGGACCGAACAGTTTTTGAACCAAACGACAGAAAATGGCATCATATGTTAAGTAGAAGAACCTTTGGGGTTCATTCAGTAGTTACAATCAAAAAAACAGATGGTAATCTGAGAATCTACATGGTTTCAAAGGAACTAAATGAAAATATCAAAAGAGAACATTTTCATCTGCCAACTTGAACAACACAGTAAAGCTGCTCTCTAATGGTGCAGCCAGATTCTGGCAAATACCTCCTCAAGAGACAAGTTCCAAAATAAATTGTTTTGATTACATAGATTTTTCAGACTTCCTTTTAGCATATGTTCTATACAGAAGTGATCGATAAAATATTACTACATCGAATGTTCAAAGGAATTCCTTGTGCATGGAGTGCTAGCTTACTGATATAGGAGCCACTGCACAGACATATGAAAAAAGAATGTCACATCTTAAAAAACAGTAATAAAAAAACCCTCTAAAATATGTTTAATAAAAATGCATTTTTAAACAGGATAAAGTTCAGCAGAGGAATCGAGCTCTTTTCAAGGGAAAAATAAAATTTGTCTTACAAAATTTAAGAACAATTTGAGAAACTTCAGGGATGAACATGTTTCACTGCATGATCTCAGAAGTCTTTATTATAATAAGATATTGTCTGTGAATTCAGTATCATAGGTACAAATAAGCTCTTTATCAACAAAGAAAATTGGGTGTCTGTCCAAAGACGTTTAAAGTCTTATAGATCAAGTCATTTTTCAGTAAGACCGAGTTGGAATGAAAAAGACGCTAATAAAGAATGGACATTCTAGAAGACAGGATGATTTAAAAATTCTCACCACATCACTGGTGCCAAAATATTTTTACGCAAAACTATCAGAGTTTCCAGAGATGAAAAACAAAATGTTCTGAAAGCCATGCAAACAGCATAAAATATGTTTTTCATCTGTAGATTTTACTACAAGCCCATTAAGGTCTTAAAATACAGACTTTAATAAAAGAAATTTTCAAGAACTAAGTGCTGAGAGTTTAATGCCTTAGTGAATAAGTGTTTATAGATTAAAAGCCTTGACTAAAACAGATAGGAATTCTTTGTCTCAATTTAGCAATGAACATTAAGTATACCTCTTTCAAGGACACGAAGACTGGCACTACATTTACAGAAATATAATTTGATATTGGAATATAGCCCAGATAGCAAGACATTACCAACAAATACACAACACACATTTCTCCCTAGCAAACTGTTCAGGCAAGCAAAAAGGAAGCACGTGTGCACGATTAGTTTATTTGTTCTCAAAAGATATGATGCACCACAGTAATGCATTAAAACTATCAACAGATTGCATTAAAAACCAAAACCCATAGTAATAAACTATGAATCAGAAGTACAAGTTAATTTGGGAGTACCACTTAAGACCACAGCGTACAATCTATTTTTGCAAATTCTTCTACATGTGGCATATACAGCAGCATTGGAAAGAAAAACCAAAAGTGACCATCAGGATCACTGGACTAGCCTAGCATGAGAACTCCTAGCAAGCAAAATAAGAGTTAAATGTTGAAAAAAACTGAAGGCAACAGGTGACAGCAAGCATTTCTTTAAATTCTAAAGTCAGGACTGTCAGCTACAACTGCAACACATACCAACTCCAGGGTGAAAACAGTGTTTGCATTGTATAGCACATGATAAGCAGGATTAGACTACTGACAGTGAATAGCAACTGAGTAGAACAGACAAGAACAGAATTCCTAAGAGATATGAGTTCAGTTTAGTCTTCAGGTCCAGCAGTGGTTTATATGGAAAAAGAGCAGCCTGTCATATTATTTAGAATTATCACATTTCTAACAAACCTAGCACACATACCTTGGTGGTGTGCTTGTCACCACTACTATTAAAGTCTTTCCTCCTCCCAGCACTGCCTAATGTGTGCCATGCTCTTTGTAACAGTTTATAAGTACTGGAGAGCAGGAACTACGTATGTAGCATTAGAGTACCAAATTACAAAGGAACTTGATTGAGGAAGAGGAAAACAACGTTACTACAACACAAATAATAATAATAGTAAAGGAAAGCAAATGGAATAGCAACTTTATACGGGAAAAAGATCTCTTCACAGAAACCTGACACAGAACGTGGGTAATTTAGAGAATGACTCACTTGCCAGAAGAACCTGCTGCAAAGTTGTTTAAAAAAAAAAAAAACAAAACTATGTCATTGCTTACTGAATGTGAAGAGGGGAAAAAAAAAAATCTTCTCTGAAAGACAAAAAAAGATCCATGCAAACCTTATCATATGTCAGATCACCTTATCAGAAAGATGCCTACCAGTTCAAAGAAATAAAACAACAAATACAATACACCCGCATCTGCCACAACAACAGGTACTTTTAAAGTTGAAATGGTGCGTGTCAATTCATAAAAGTCATCCTAAAGCCTCGTCTCAGAAGAAACAAGTTTTCCTAGTCAACAAATCAAGCTATCCCAGAAGCAGGACTCATTCAAAGTAGCATGACAGTAACTCATCAAATTCTCTACTGAAGGACAACTTACATCTGTGATGAGTTTCAAAACAAAATTATCTGGAATTTTTGGACACGTCAACTAAACAAACAAACAAAATGAATACAACTAACTAAGGATTAAGAGATTATAACTATGAATTCATTGAGGTCTCACTATAAAATATCTTCCAAAAACAGAAAAAAAAGGAAGTTTTCTGAAGTTATTTTTATTGTGTTAATCCTTAATTTTTTACCTACTTAAATAAAATCAATTCTGGAGGGGATCTCTTAGCCAACTGCAAAAGAGGTTGAGTGATTTTTGGATTAAAAATGTAAAGCTCAAACTTGAAAATCCTAGTGTACTATTTAAGGAAAAAAGTAATAGAAGAACATCAAGCAGCTGATCTAAGTACTTCATGATTTTTTTTAATAAATAAATAATAATGCAGCATACTGATAAATACCTTTGTTGTTTCAAATCAGCTGCTTTTTATTCTTTGTGTTTATCTTTTATCATTATCAAGACAAATTTTAAAGCTCTGATTCAGACCATGATTCATGGGAGAGTCAGATCTCAGCACACAGGAGAAACCCACGCAAGTTTCTGCAGATTTGGATTAATAATATCTTGCGTCAGTTTGACATAAACAATTTGGGAAAGGTAAATGCAAAAAGCAGCTACCACTAGCTGCGCCAATTTTAAGTCCACTGTTAAATATAGCCCACTGAACTATATCGCCCTTACCTGATAATGTAAATAATTAAAATAAATTTTATCTGGTCCTTACATAAACTTCCATTATCACCCATAAAGCAGTTTTCTTGATAATCTTGAGCGTTAGAAAATCTTGCTATTCTATGATTCTATAATTTGTATAAAATATCATATATATGATTTACAGACACAACACCATTTTCAGAAATGTTGTGAAATAGAGTAAGGTAGAAGCAAGGTAAAACGTAAGTAGATGCAAGATATGCAAGGATACTAGTCCAATAACCATCATAAGCACGAGACTAGCCCTTACTAAGGGTAAATGAACAGAAAACTAGAGACGCCAGAATATAAAGTAGTACAGCTCTTGGCTCTGTGTCTTCTCTGCTGGAAGGGACAGAGAAAAAAAGGCCCCTGCAGTAGCCTTCACGGGAAACACCAGGAAGGCAGAAAATTGCATTCAGTCTCAATTTCACTTATACTTCAGGGAGACAAGACTCATCTATTATGTTCTCTTGCTTTCTGCTTCTGCCGTTCTCAAAAGCTCTAGAACTGCACCTGCCAAATGCACCATTATTCGAAAAAATGCACTCAACTTTAGTTAAAGAAGCTAATGCATCTTAAAATTTTCGAAAAACGTACACGTACTATTACTGTTCTTGATTTCACTCTCAACTCAGAGATGTGGTTTTTAAACTGTTTTCATGTTATGTAGTTGTGACAAATAGTTCATCATGAGTAGGGATGCTTATAGGGACCTGCTTAGTAAAGTACCACGGGATGAAGCCCTGGACGGGAGCAGGGCCCAATGATCACCTCATTCAAGCTCAGGAGCAATGCAACCCAACAAAGAGCAAGTCAGGCAAAAATGCTCAAAGAGAAGCCTCCAGGGGGACCTTATATAGCAGCCTTCCAGTAGGGGGCCTACAGGAAAGAGGAGGTGGGATTTTTTACAAGGCCATGTAGTGATAGGACGAGGGGTAACAGTTTCAAACTGAAAGAGGGTAGATTTAGATTAGCTATTAGGAAGGGCAAACTCAAAAAGGAGGCCTACGGAGAGTGGAAGCAAAGACGGGTACCCTGGAAGGAATACAGAGAAATTGTCTGAGTAGCCAGGGTTCAGGTTAGGAAAGCTGAAGCCCAGATAGAATTACATCTGTCCAGGGACATCAAGGGCAACAAGAAAAGCTTCTATAGGTATGTCAGTGATAAACTCTAACCATTCTATGATTCCATAATTTAATTTTTTTTAAGCGAGATTGTCTGCAATTAGCACAGCAATAGATTAAGTTTGTGGAAGTTAGCACACACATCATTCACAATGTGAGGTGGCAGAGGAGGACCAGAGAACATGCCAGTTTTAATGAAATATATCCAAACTGTCCTCTCTACTCCGTTGTAATTTTGTCCTTTACATAAAAATTGATTCTGAAAATAGCAAAGTCTATACAAAAAATAATAAAAAAAAATATATTTACCAGTTGTGTCAGACATTAGATTATTTTCTAATATACTCAGTAAAATACTTCCTTGGCGTTTCTAAACTCAACTGATTGTTATGCAATAGCTTTCTTGTAAGCAATACTGTAAGCACTTGATTTTTACGATTACTTTTCATAACTAATAAATGGAACATTGATACAAACCTGCAATTTCTTCTATGGAGTTAGCTCTCATGTCCAAAAGAACCGTGCCATTCAGGATACAGCTTCTTAGCTCAAACAGGCTATGAAGTGACAGTGTGGCAACATATGGTTTGCTCCATCTCTCTCCACCATCCTCTACATCTTCTTCAAACTTCAACCACCTGTGCAAACAACCAATTTTATAACTCCACTGTCCATAAGAAATGAAAAATAAATTACTTCCATGGATATTGAAAGATCACTGTTAAACATGTCTTCGGATTTCACTTTATTCTTTCTTTGTAGGAAATACGAGAAACTTGCCTTGCCTGCTTCTTCCCATATAATGCTGTATTGTACCATTTTTGAAGATAAATTCTGACCAGAGATGAATGAGAAGTGTATTAAGTAATCATTACTGAACTTTACAAAAACTTTGAGTAATTCTTTGGCATACAGTGATATTTCTACTATAGAATAACAAGTAGTATAAAAAGGATAGAGGAGAAGAATTTGTGGTAGAGAAAAAGAAAAGCTATACATAATAAGAACACAGGAGAACTTTCTCCATTTAGTCTTCACTTTGAACTAAACACAACACAGAAGAGACATTTTTCAATTAAAGTAAGTATACTGACATAGTCACACTTTACAGAATCCATCCATTATCACCACCATAATCTTTTCACAAAAGACACTGTTATGAACTTCATTAGTTTCAAGTTACTTAACTGCATTAAGCTATTCATAAAGGCAGTAAAACATTAAGCAAAACTTAGGATATTTTCCATTTAAAAGTTCAGTCTATTGACATGAAAAACCTCACAGGCACATACATGCATACACAAGCAACGTGTAAACACTCGTGAACAATCTTTCAAGCCCCAAGATATGGGCTTTACTCAGGCAAAACAACCATGTGAATAACACAAAATACAATTTAGAATCCAGTAGCAACATCATATCTCACTAAATTTTGAGTCTCATTTGCCTGTTCTCAGGTTCAGTATAAATCTGGAGACACTTCAGTGAAGTAAAAGGACACATGAAACTGGCATGAGAGGATCAAGTCTTTTGTTACTAACCAGGTGGACGAACTTTCTTGCACAATTTTTTTAATTGTTTACCGATAGAAATTACACTAAAATGTTAAAATAATAATAAACAAACAAAAAAAAAAGAGAGAGAAGTCTGTCGACATATGCAAAAGTGTTCTAAATTAAAGTTATCAAGTCTTTCAAGCATACATAGATGTTGCTGCGTGGAACCACACAGCCTGCCAGCTTGGCAAGGTTTGAACAGCTGCAGCCACAGCAAAAGCATTTATAACTTGACTCAACAGCACTCAGCTATTTTATACGGACCACACAGCAGAGAAGTCAGGCAGAGCCTCCCACCTTGACAGCACCTTCACACTTATTTCCAGACAGCAGGGAAGCGTAGAGCCTTAAGACCTCTGAAGCTGAGCAATTTCCAGTTTTACCAAACCTTGCAGACCAGTAACACAGCTGTCTTCTGTGCCTGGCCCACCTTCCTATCCCTTCTCCCACCTGTAAAATATGCATTTGTACCCATATTTAAGACATCTTCCTCCTTTCGGTCCCTGTGTACCAGATTCTTCCCCTTCTGATGCCATCCTGCAAGCAACCACCACTGCAGTGACCCACTCATCACCAGTATATCTGCACCCTTCCTGATGTGTTCCGTTTCTTCTAACTGTACCAGCTGCCTCCTAATCACTCTCCCATTATTTACATACACAATTTGCCCCCAACTCCTTGGCTCCTCCAAAATGTCCAATCTCCTGTGTCTAGCCTTCTCCTCCTCTTTGTATTTAAAGATTTTTCCCTCCATTTCCTCTGTGCTGGCCAGTTTCTGTATCTCATCTTTGCCCATGAGACCTCCTCTCCATCAGACTTCTGTTCTCCACTCCCTTCATTGCAATCTCTCTTCTCTTCCCAGCCCAGCTAGGCTGTCTCCTTTACTTTTTCATTCTTCTAGAGAAGGACCAAAAAGGACACAGCCCACACAAAAATCTGCTTCCACGCAGTTGAACCATGAAATTAAATCTGCATATGCAAATGAGGTTTTCCAAATAGATTTTCAAAACCATGTCCGAATGGACATCAAACATAAATTAACACACCCCACCCCAACCAAATTCAAAGCCATGAGCTACAACAACTCAAGAAAGTTACCAAGAAGCATGTGAGAAGGAAAAAAAAGTTTGTTTGTTTGTTTTTTTTTTTCATTGTGCAGTTGCATTTGAACTCCATAAGAAGAGGCTGCTCCCAGCTTATGCGTGGCACTCACGTTTCCAAGCTAAAAATATGCTAGACCTATTTGTGGCCATAACATCCCAAGCATGGTGCATTAATCGCCCTGCTTAAACTATTGTCTCCTAAGCCTCTGCAAATTTTTATCTTACATTTTTATCTTCTCATTCCTCTGGTTTTGTGCATGTTTCTAATCTCTTTAGGAGTTTTATAAGATTACGATCTTTGCATTTGGGTATTCCCAATTATTTCTGATGTAACTTCATCTTGCTTTATGCCGATTTGAAAAAAGATTAAAAATCATGCTGCATATATCCTATAAACAATGATCCAAGCATAGATTCTTAGAGTCTCATCAGAAACCTCATACTCTCATTACCTTCTGTTCATGTAAATAGTCTTCAACATTGCTTATCTGATTATACTGCTGCAGTCTGATCTTGATATTACCTATTTTGAATATACTAACCAATTCTAAACAGATTTTAAAAGAATGATAAAAGACATGTTCTTAAAAGTTTCATTAAGACAGGTGACTGGACAGAGGCAGGCTCGTAACCAGAGCTCATAACTTACTAGGGACACACAGACAAGTCTAAATCATGAAAACAGCTTTAATTACTGTATATAGTGTCAATCAGACATCAAAGCTTACACACTACATAAAAATCCACAGGACACTATTGCTACTGCCCAAATAATCATACTTGCCATCGCGATTATCTCCATCTGAATTTCAATCAAATCAAATTGATTTGCATCAAATTTCCTACTGTTACTAAAACTTATGTGTTTAAAACATTATCATACATTGTTACTTATTGAGCCAAAAGGCTAGTACATAGCATAAATCATACCCAGCTGAGAGACTTTTACATTTGGAATAAACTTCTATTTTGATTTTAAAAAGCATTACATGAGTTTACCCATCTCATCAAGGGCAAATGATGTTTATCACCTTTTATCTTTTCAGAATTATTCCCCTGTTATGTCAGATAATCTTTATTTAACATATCAAATGAGAATGAGCAGCAGAAAACATAAAACAAACAAATCTCTAGTCTTACACACAGCCATTCATTTCTAAGTGTTCAAGTGGTTTTAAAAAATCATAATACCATTTTAACAACCCTCTGAATTCATATATAGGATTCAAGGATAGAAATGGCTTTGAAATCCAAATTCAGGCATGGATCCCAAGTTTGCCCATTTTCTGTTCTTTTTAGTATCTCAGAGAAAAAGACATATTTCAATATATTTTCTTTTGCAGCTTAATGCCTTAAATTGATATGGTTGATAAAGAAAACCCTTTCATAATTTCCCAGAAAACAACACCAACCCTATTTGTATATTGAGTTCATGTCACACGTACCCCATGTGCTTGGAATATATTTAGAGCTATCTTAGTTGTGTCTGATCACACAGAAGAGCAGCTTCATTCATATGGTGTTCTTTTACTGGTAAAGACTAGCACAGGTATATCAATCATACAGTTCAGTTTCTCTGATAGCATACTTGCTGGAACAAAACACGACAGCAGGAGTTTCAGCAGGGAACGTTACTGTAGGAAAAATTACTCAGGGGTGTGTGTGTACATACACATACAGGTTACATCTTCTAAAATCATCTCCATTGATGTTTCTGGAGTCAATAAAAGAGTGTGCACGCTTCATTGTAGACTCAGTGACAACATTTTGGTGCACAATATGAAGTGGGTGAGCTGAAGGTGATGTTATAGTCTGTTGTGTCTGCAGCAGACAGCTTGAGCACGTATTCACTTACAAGCCACTCAAGAGTCAACGTTATTAATGTAATCGTACAATCTGTGTAAATTTCCACATGAGCTTTGGCCTGCCTATGCTGCTTAGAAAATGAACCGAAGTAAACAAGCATATCAGAAACAAAGTGGAAGTGACAAACCTGTTTTTTGTGACCTAGTTTCTTTGGAAGAAGATTTTTGATCCAGGGGAGATGCATTTTCACTTCATAGTTTTTCCCTAGTACCTCAATTTTCTAGTCACTACTAACAATTTATTTTCTAAACTATGGACAGAGGTTTATTTTGTTAGCTGTACTGTTTCATTAAATTTCAAGCCTAAACACTTTCCTGTTGGTTCCAAAGCATCTTTCTATTTTCCTCCTTACTACATATTCTTTTCTGTTCCAGAAACATAGTGATATTCTCCCAAAATTTTCATTTGATATTAGCAGAGAAATGAGTCCCAACAGTTTGGGTAAAACTTGCTACAAATCAGGCACTACTTTCCGGCCATGACCAAAAGAGGCTATTAGGATAGATTTGAAGATGAATTGCTTTCCTAATAGCTGCATTTCGCAATTATACTATTGTGTGTATAAAATAAACTGCCTCAGTGTGTTTCTCCACAAACTTACTGGAAATAGTTTTTTCAGGAAAGGAACTACACATCACGCATTCTCTACATGATTTTACAGCTGGGCCACATACAAAAAATTATATTAATAACGACTGACTATTGATATTAAAAGGTATGTGTTTCTTCTGGCTTGAAATCAATTAATGGGGAAAAAATAATTAATTTTATCACTATATCAACATAAGTAAGTTATTCCATTCTACTCGCTAACTAATTCCATGGATGGGACAGCCTAGAACAGATCTTGGAATGGAATAGGCTGTAACAGCAGTGCACTTTCTTGCTCCTACTAATTAATCTGCAGGAATGCTCTTCCTCGTGATAAATGTTATGGAAACTGGAGAATGGCAAACCTTGGAGTCTCCTAACTGCTGAGGAAAAAGAACAATAAAAAAAAAGAAAAGGCCTTACCTCTTCCAAACAAATGAAATAGGAATAGAGGAGTTTTACCTAAAGAACACCAAGCTTCAGTCAAATATTATCCATGGCTTCCTTTGATATGTTACTATTTTGACCAACCAAGAACAAAATGTCTCAAACGGTTTTACACAGTTTGCTCAAGATATTTTCAAAAGGCTGTTAAGGCTGAACTGTATATGCAATTTCAATCAAACTGAAAACACGAAGATACAGATTTATTGCAGAGTGAACTCAACCCTTCAGTCCATTGCAGAGCTTGGGGAAATGAATACAGAACCACTTAATGCCACCACTCTCATTAAACGCAATTAATGAACGATATTAGTTTGTAAGTATATGATCTTGCATTTGAAACACCATCTATTACTCTACTCAAAGACACCTTGTTCTTTTTGGATGATATCCTTATCTATTTCTAGAGTAAAAATATCTCCTAATATTTTATCATCAGCAAGTTTCATTACTATAATTTATTTTTTGTCATTCAATAATAAAGCCATTTACTAATTCTTCATAAGTCAGTTGTCTATACCTCCCACACTAATAGTTTAATCTTTCAGCATGACCTGCTGCACCTCTGAATTAGTTCCTTACCCACCAATATAACTTTTACACTTGAACAGAGTTTAAGTAATAAATTCCCATTGCTGTATCATATCAAATGCTTGACTAAAAAAACATTAAAAAATAGATCCACTGTTTTTTCTTTGTCAGAAAAACAAAATCAATTCTCTGATGAAATAGCATTATTAAGTTAGTCTGACAAGATACACCATTGTATTGCATTTTATCCAATCTTCTACTTAGCTCTAAGTCTATAATTATTCTTTCCTCCCAATATTGTTCTACACCTTGCCTAGCTCTGAAATCTGACTATCAGGCCTCTGTTCATTCCGACTTTTTTTATCCTTTCTTAAAAAGTGTTGCTGTATTTGCTATAGTACAACTCACCTGATAGATTCACAGAAAGACAGGATTTACTCTACCCATGAAATACATGTTCTCTTGGCTTTCTAGGATGGAAATTATTGCACAGATATTGCACTTACAAAGCATTTTGCTTCTTGCCTTCATTTTGAATTTGGTCATCTTACTGCCATCCCCTCCTTTTCTAACAGCCAGCCAACCCATGTTAAATGTTGGCTGAAATTTTTGGATCCAAACTGAAAAAGATTGTTTATCTTGACCAGTTCTTTCTTCTTGGCAGCTCCACTCTCTTTGTTTTCATCCTATTTCTAAAACTAAAGAAACTTTCACTATTAGCTATTATACTTCGTTCTTGTATTTTCTGAGCTCAAAAAAAAAAAAATTTTCTTGACTGTTGAAAAAGGACAGGAAAAAACAATCTCAGCTTGTTTCTGTTAGATATTTTTGATTCTTTAGTTCCCAAATTACAACTGGAAAGGCTGTACATACAGACAGATGAATCTAAATAGAAGTTTCTTTGTTTCACCTATTGCTTTCAAATGTGATCTTGATTAAGTATTTATGTTCATAAAAATTTGTATATTATTTCAGAAACTTAATTTTTCAATGATTTGCTAAGGGACGTTTTTAGTTGAACTAAAGAAGCTGCTATTTCCCTGCTTAAAAATAACATAAGCCACAGTGATTTTTATTTTTAATCACAATAGAAGCTGATACCCTTCGTAGAAGAGGTCCTATATATTCCTAATCAGTATGAGAACACTGCAGACGATTAACTTGATTAGATTTTCTCGCTCTGAATATTAATAAGATTATTTAGGAACACCACTACACTCATTCTGCAGCACAATCCCCATATGAGAATTTTCTACATGTGAAGATCTATACATAGCATCTGTCTATGCCTCCTATGGACACATAAAGGAAAGGAAGGTCATAGAAAATTCTGCGGTCCTCTGCGAAAGCAGGAATTTGCAGTAAAATTAAAGGGAAAGCTAACAGCTATATTCATGCCAAACAGCCCATATCCATGGTTTGCCACAAAATCCTTTCAGAAATTCCACAGTTTTTATCCTACTGACACCAAAGATTTAGTCCATAGACTTCTGGGCTCCACTGAGGAACACTGTCAACAAATACTGGCAGGGGAAGAGAGAACTAAGATACCAAGAAGAAAAAATGAAGCAAGGCTTGATGGGAAATGTAAAGTCTTAATGAAACTAAGCAAGTCATCTCCTTTTTAGGTGCTCAAGGAAACAAATGTGGAAAAAAAAAAAAGTTCTGTTCCAATATTTATTTTTTCAGCAGAAATGCAATCTAAACAGTCTTTTCGCACTAGTTTTGTGGAAACAACATAATCCAACACTGAATATTCAAAGTCTCAAAATCAACTGTTCTTTGATAATTAGAATATGTAAAAGTGTTATTGCTCCAAAAGTACTCTCATTCCTTACTTTAATCTTTTTATATCAGTTTACTGAGGATTCAAACACACTATGAAGTTTGAAAGTTTCTTAAAATGATGAGCTAAAATATGAATAAAACCAGTAATTTTAATTCATATATATGATATGTTTACTTTGATTTTTCCCTTGATATTCATTCTGACCTAAATTTCATAAATCCAGATGAAAACATTTGGCTCTGGGAAACAACAAATGCTGTAGTAATACTAGCAGTCTAAGGATTAAAATTATGGGTTTAAGCTTTATATCCAAAATCTGTTCCTGAGCTTGCCACAGCCTTGAAATCATTCCTCAATATACCAACAACCAAAACAGATAATTTTTAACAACTTATGAAAACACTCACCTTGCTGTCTCCCTCCACTCCGCGTCCTCTCCTTCACGCCAACAAATTTCATCAAGCTCCGTAAAGAGATCATGAGGAATGTGCTCCTCGTCATCATCTTCTGTTCCAAGAATAAACTGCACCCTTTGTGATGGGGTATCTGGGGAAAAATGAATCTATCAAGTCCAGAACACCAAGTTTTTTGCTCTGAGCAACCAAGTATCTAAAATTTCGTGAGATTATCCAGACTCTTTCATCCATATCACTTAATGCCACACAGAAAACATGTATCTAGTTATGCTGTAAGAACATTTATACACAAACACCTTCGGATTTAGACCTCTTTACTTACTGTAGTTGTCTAGACTGCTAATTAGACAAACTTATCTAAAGATAGAATGTAATGTACAGAAGTAGTGACTATTGGAAGCTGGAACGGTATCTCACAGAAAAAAAGGCAGCACAGATAGAGCTGATAAAAGTCTTTTACTCCATCGTTACAAAAACCACCTGGCCATATCGTAAGTCTAAATCTACACATCTAGCTCAGGTCACATAGCTGGTGTACTACATGTGCATTCTCTGTTTACCTAGCAGGACAAAGGAAGCAAAAGTAACCTCTCTAATGTCAACACACAATTGGGAACTTCAAAAATACATCACTATCTACACCTACCATCCCCTGCCCCTTTGTAAACTGTTTCTACATGGTTAGGCTCTTCCAGGTTAACAAGTTGTTTCTCTGTCCCAACTTCTCCGTTTTATTCTTCCTGTCTCTGTCTTCCCTTTACGTTTCTATTACCTTTTTTTTTTTTCCTTCATAACCTTTCAGTGCAGACCATTAAGTATTTTGGAGACATATTATTCTTTTTCCATATCACTCAGAAAATTTCCAGAACTCACAGATCACCTTAACATATGTGTATATTCGGTCTTCATAGCTCAAATGTTCTAAGTCTTAAAAAAAAAAAAAGAAATCCTGTCCTTATTTAAATGCAAATCTCAAATGAACAAATTCTGGATGAAACCCAGTCTCTCCAGAAATACGTATTTATTCTTCTACTAATGTATTTTAGATCTCTGAGAGGAACCAAAAATCCTTTGTGACAGCTGATAGGGGCCACGCTGCCAGTCAACCAAAAAATTGATTATCCAGCAGAACAGCTCAGCGATTCCTTGAACATTGTTTAAATGAAGTTCTGTTCTACAACCATATTTGTAAGACAAGCTACAGTACTTTCCATCTAGCAGTGAAGAGCATCATTGCATAGGATCCTCAAGCTCTCTGAATTTTGGAAAAACTGAGATGATAGCATTAATTGATTGCTAATTAAAGAGCAAATCCAGCACTGATCAAAAATAATTAAATGGGCCACTGATACAGGAAATTAAATTCAGCAGTAAAGATACCTTTCTTTGCAGTAGTAGTAAACTTGCTATAGCAATGAAACACAAACAATACATGACAGTTTCCACCTGAGGTCTGTTTGCTTAAACACAGTGTACCAATATAAAGTATGGTAAAGCCTACTTACTTCTTCACACAGCAAGGAAATTAAACCCCAGAAGAAGTATGGGAGAGGAGGGAGAGAGAGAAGGGCTTAGCTACTTCTAAGGGTCCAGAGAATGGATCTGCAGGGGGACAGCTAAGGGGTCGGAAATTACTTTTGGTGAATCATTTACGAACAGCAACAACCCCCTCCACTTTACCTTTTCTTTTATTACTCCTCTCTCTCACTGTTCACTCTTCTTTTTTTCCTTTAAGACCATTTCAACCTCTATTCTAAACCACCTTCCAGCCTCCCTCTACCTTTTTTTTTTTTTTAAATCAAATTCTTTATGTTCCTTATATCCACATATTGGTACATTCTAGACAAAGATAAGGTAAATACAAACATCAAGATTTAATCTGAGACTGGAAAGTACGTTCTGGTCAAGAAGTGTGCAACTTAAGACTATTTACCACAAGGACAAAATTCAGCGAGATATGAACTTGCAAAGGACAAGCACTATCACATTTGACTAGTGATAGAACATGAAAAACAAGCCACTTCGGTAGAGAGCTGGACTGCAGTGAAAATCTGAGAACAAGCATTTCCAAGAACATCCTGTACTCTTGACAAAATCAGCACTAGAACTGGTTTACAGCAGCAGCTACTGTTAAGTAGTGTTGTACAGCAGAGCTGCAGTTTTATGACAGTTATGATACTCATGCAAATACACACTTTCAGCGTGGGAAGGAAAGCAGAGCATCAGAAATCCCTTGAGGTGAGTAGTAACAAGGAAACACCTTATTGCTGTGATTTGCTCTTACTGAGTCTTCTGTGTAACATACAGCTACTTGACTGACAACAGTGAAGAATCTATATAAACGCCAAAATATGCAATATATTCTCTTCTTCCTTGCTAACAGACCAGTAAAAGTAGCTGCTAGATTCTGGCTATCTTTTTTTGTTGCTGTAATTTGTATTGGTGTCCGAAAACTGCAAGCCACAGCTTGATTTTCAGACAGCAAACTGGAAACTAAAAAAAAAAAAGTTATTATTTGCTTTATAGTACAATAATTTTATTTCAAGGACAAAACCTTAAGAGAATTAAACAATAGGAACATCATAAAATTAAAAAAAAAATCTGTTAGTTCTACTTATAAAACTGAGTTAACAGCATTACTCATGTGAGCAATGCCAGATGGCTTTGGCTCTTATTCATAGAAGTAATAAATACCAAATATGTCATTAATGTGTTATATGGAAAATGAGTAATATGTGATTCAAAAACAGTATGAAGGAATACTTCAATTGCTGACTGTCAAACTGTGATAACATAATCTTCAAGGTAGAAGCATAATATTTGCAAACTAGGACACTCAAATTTTTTTGAAGTCTAGGAAAACAGAAATTGGCTTGAATATTATCTGTGTTTACCCCTACCTCAGGTAGTACAGCCAGTGTAAAAAAAAATCCTTTGTATTATTATTGCTATTTCCAAAAGGTGATGAAAGTAACCTAGATTAAGCTAAAAAAATTCCATTAATGGGACTAATTTGTTACATTAGTATTTCTATCATTGCAGTTGTTTTATATCAGAGCACAGAGATATTAGAAACAATTTGAATTTAAAGTGACACAATAAGCAGCTGATGATTCTCCCACGTAAATGGCTCGTCACCAGTTCAGGAAATTCTCCAGGACCAGCTGGGACTGGGCAGAAAGTCTGGTACATGACAGGAGGAGGAGCACCATCAAAAACCACCCGTGCTCAGCTAAGAGCCATCTCAATGAGGAAAAGTCGAAGCAGCTTTCTGTTTGCTGTGGCTCCACCAGCCCACGGGAGCCTCCTGCCAAACTCTGTGTTATACCTGGGTTTCTCTGGGCTTGTGCTCACATCACCTGTGCAGCACTCACACAGACATCCAAACTACCTCTGATATCTCAAATTCATTGCATGCATGGAAAACCTGAGTATTCCAGGTTGAAAAATCTGTATAACTCCACCGTTAAAAGGGTAAAAATTAAGACCTGGTGAATACGCTATGGTTGAAAGCACAAATTCACACTGGGAATCTGCTGCAGAAAGGAGGCAACCCTGCAGCAACCTGACATAGTGCTCACTACCATGATTTTTTGTGAATTCATTAACATCCCTAAAACAAAAGCAAGATATAGGCATAGACATGCCAAAACAGCAGAACTGAAAGCTAGAACTGATAATAACCTAATTCCCACAGGGTAACACAAAAAGCTGCTTCCCGGAACAGCACTGAGTGCAGGCAGTGGCCTACATCACCATCCCACCTTGCAGAACACACGTAGGGAAGAACCATAACTGGCATTTCCCCCATTTAAAACATCCTCAAAGTGCAACCCCAATTCTGGGTCAGGACTGCTCCCTCCTGCCTAAGAGAACAAGGTGAAATCAAGACTTGGGATGTGGTAAGACAGCAGGATCATCCTCAGTCCCTCCACATAAATTCAGCCCAGCAAACAACCTGCTCCACTGCACCATTCAGTGCGTGCCAGGATTTCTCCTGAGACAAGCCGCCCTGCCATCAGGCAGAACTGCACGCAATCTGCCCAAGCCATACCACAAGCAGAAATACAGCCTTGGGTACATATAAAACGTATTCCAAATTTTCTCCGCTGCTCTTGATAAACTCTAGAAAGGGTGCAAAAAACGTATTTCTGGTAACACTCTATCAGAACAGGTTTATGTATTTCTAAGCCTGTTGAGAACCTGCATTTCAGGGTAGTATTAGTAGGCTAATACTTCTTATTAAGGTCAGTAGATGTAGGGGTGAAAAAATACTTTTCCTACATTAGAAAATAGGCTAAACATTAAAATAAAATTTACATTACAGAAGTTCACATAAGATAGTAAACATGATAGACAAGACTTAATCCATGCCTCATTCTCTTGTACATTCACATTAAAGTAATATTAAATATACAAATTTTTTTTTTTTTTGATTGCTCACTGCACCGGACAGGCTGCAGACAGGGAATGAACTTGTGTAACACAGTTGACATCCATTACAACTCCTTTCAAACAAAGGGGAAATGGTGTGAAAAATTCAAAGGATCAGAGAAAAGAAAGGATTATTTCACACGCAGACAAACATTCATTATCCTCCTGCTTGCGCTCACCAAGGAAGTAGTGGATGGGGCTCTGCTCCCACCCCCTTCCTGTGCAGATTGGACTTTGCCCTTCAGCTCAGCAATCAGTAAAGGTAGGGATCACAAATAACTTTTTTTTTAAATTAGAAAACATGGTAAAAATTAAAACAAAATTTACATTACTAAAGTACACGTAAAATAGTAAACAGCCATAGAGCACACTTCTGAAAAATCTCTTCACAGACCTTAGAAATCATGTGTTAGGTTGGGAGAAAATATTTCCTTGCTTGCTCCTCTGGCACTTTATCCCTGTATGTATAATCTTGTTTTCAGGAAGCGCTCTCTGCGTTTTCTTCACCTGCATTGTTTCCATCACTTCAGTGCAATGACAAATAATCTTACGTTTTGGACCTGACAATGTGGACAATTCCCAAGCTTCAGTTCTCTTCTTTTCGCTAGATTCTTAAAACTGCAGTTATGATACATTATTTTAATCCAGATTTGCAGCAATCTGTTCCACAGCTGCCCAGAGATTTAAATTTCCAAGTTCATCCTTCAGCAGACAAAGCCTATAGTTAAGGGCAGGAGAATTCTCTTAACAGCCATACTCTTTACAAATAATTACATTTGCCCCATTAATACCCCTTTGAGGTTAGCTACCAAATATAGTGAGCTGAGCCCTTTCATTACACTTTCTTCAAGTCCCTCTAGTAACCAAGAGAAGTCCCCTTTTGCAATTCACTTTTTCGCTTGCATTACCTTCAGAGATCCTTTCCGGAACTGTGAGTACGGTCCTGTTAGGCTCACCTCCAGGGCTGCTCAGCTTCCCTTGCCACATCCAATATCATGAATTACAAATTTAAGCCTCTTTAAAACTAGAGATTATTAAAGCCAGATTTCTTAAAAGAACAAACCAACCTTACACAAGCCCCAACAGCATTTAGTCCTAGAAGTCACCACAGGAGGCTGAAATCAAATCCCAGTCCTCACAGCTGTGTTCACTTCACCCTCACAAAACCTGTCCTTAAAGACATCCTGCTGAGAGCTAAAGTCTTCCTCTCCCACCCCATTCTAAAACAGAAATATGAATATATTTATTTAACTCATAAATGCAAGTACAAGAGAGCTGTTTCACAGCTACAGGCAAAAAGCAGACACCAAAAACCAACAAAAATTGCCACTAAAATCCCCGTCCATACCAAGCAAGTGCAACCCTACCAGCCAAAGGCACTGCCACCAGAACCCACAGCGCTGATGGAGCAGTCTCAGCCAGCTTATGACCCTTCAGCCCACCAGGGCTGGCACCCATCACCCTCCCAGCAAACAGCACCAAGGAGCTGCTGTAGACTAGAAACAGCTTTTTTGCCAAACCAGTTTTAATTTGTATAAATTCCCTAATTTAATGCACAGAGTAGCCACCATACTTGCCCCACAAGGAAAGCTGTGGGAGGAGGGGAGCTTAAAGCAGGCATGAAACTGTGGCCCTAATTACAACAGCAGCATTTCAGCTGAGAACAGTAAACCTCTTCAATAAAGCAAATAGCATTACTGCAATTTTAACTAGAGTTGATAATTTCACTGGATTTCTCCCTTTCTTCCAAAAAATTATAAGGCAAGATGGAGGAAATCTAGATCTTGAAATCACTTAGCATACCATTTTTACTACCTAAAAAAGCCTCTCCATGAGCAAGCCATGTAATCTGCAAATTATGCAATTCAAAGGCACATCATTATGGCAAAATGGAAACATCTTGTACAACCTCATCTCATCAAGAGGCAACAGACTAACAGCAAGAATCAGGTGTGGGGAAAACAAAAATAAAACCCAAGCAATTGATCTGTGACCCCAAATGACTGGACTCTACCTCTTTTTATTCCACTAACTACATATTCTACATATTATTTGTCTACAAGCTCTGAATCCACACACTGAGAACACTCAGGTTATTTTTGAAAACTGACAGTAGGAGATTTAAAAAAAAAAAAAAAAAGCTTATGAGCTGCCATCAGAATATTCTAAAAAATCTATTCTCTGCAGAAACATTCCCTCAGAAAGTAGCTGGTACAGCTTTCCCAGGCAGGATTCAAAGGGATTACCAGGAAGCTTACAGCCATGGGCATTACACTGAATACAGGTGTTTTCTACCCATGTTGATACAAAGAAAACCATTTACGAAATTGTTTTTCACTGAATAGGAACCTGTCCACTCTGAGTGGGGCCTGCACAGCCCCACAGCCCTATGTGCACTGCACAGCTCCCTGAAGCAGTGATAGCACAGCAAGATCTGCACGTAATGGTACTTCACAGATGAAGTTATAAATTATACCATTATAACTTATGACAAAAAATAATGCTTCATCCCATGCTTGGTTAACTGAGCAGTCTGGAGCACTTCACGTCTGAGTGTTTCAGGTCTTTACTTGTTCCAGCATCTCTATTATTCAGTTGTTGCATCTTTGGCTTTTATTATACCTCCTTTCATACTTCACTGCTTCAAAACACTCCTAATTTATGCTCTGGCATCATAAAAATCCTAATGTATTTTTCTGACTTACTTCAGAGCACTGTGTTCTATCAGCTCGTCTCACAGTGCTTATTTTCTCTATCTTTCTTCTTGCACCTGCTCGTTGAAATGTTTTTTCTTTCCCCTCCTCGCCCCCAGTTCCCATGAATACAGCCTCCTACTATTCGGCAGAAATGCATTAGGAGGGGTATATGGTGAAAGGGAGCTAAGCATTTCTGCGTGTTCAATTAAATCAGAATGATTCATAAAGTAAGGGACGATTTTGGATGTGCTCTCTTAGGTAGCACAGTCCCTCATTTTAAGTTATGCATCAAGAGCAGGAAGCACATTTGTCTTCCTTGCAACTTCCTTCAGCCTCTGGGTACTGTTGAAACCTTGTGGTCATGGGGAATGAGAGTAAGAAGCATTATGGAGGTTTAGCGGATTCAGATTTAGTGCGGGAAGTATCTGTTGCTTCCTCGTGCAAATGAAGCATAGAAAAAACTATGCTTATATTCTCTCTAAAGGCAATGCTTCTCCCCAGGCAGCACAGCCTGTCTGAAACTCCTGTAAGGAAAATCCATAGTAAATGCGAGGATGCGGATATAGACTACAATTAATCCCTGTATAATTTTGTCTGCCTACTCTGACTGTGCTTAACCCTTCCGTCACTGTATAATTTTCAGATTTACCAACTTACAAATGCACTTCAAAACTATCTTTTTCATATTACTGCTATTCCACTCTTAGAGCAATCTTGAACATAAGCTGATTTTCACTAAACGCAGAATTTCTTTGAACAGTGCGTTTTATTGTATGCACAACTGTCGAAGACTATTAAGGACAGATTCAGACAGACAATTTCTGGGTTTTTTTTCACTTTTGACATTAGGAAGGACACAAGCCTAGGTCTCCAGAAGTTGAAAGATCAAAGCTAGGTTCTCAGCCAAAATGTGTCACATACTGGCACTTAAATAAAACCAGACGACTCAACAGAAGACACTGCTTCATAGTTTAAGACATCTCACTTCTTGGCTAACGTAACTTTCAATTGTTTCTTTTTAATCTCTCATTATATGTATATATGCATATTCTTTTTGAAAACTATTTTAATAATTTATGAACTTTGTTGTTTTCCAAGAAACCAGTTTCAATAAAGTATTGGGTCTTTGTACATTTGAAATACATTCCAGACAGAACCACCAGAGCCAATTTTTTCTTCACTGTTCAATCTTCAAAACATAACTCATATCTACTAAGTTTGAAAAAGTCTTGACTTTGTTTCATTCCCAGTATAATTCATTGTGAAAGATTTGAGTATTTTAAGCTCTTTACAATATACTTAACTGTCAGCAGTTATAATCTACTTGCTCCAAAGCTTTCTACATACATAATACAAACTTCAGATTAAAAGAAAGTCTTATAATTAGTATTCTGTAACCCGAAATTACATTGGCACATTTCGCTAATGATTTAAAAACATTCTTCTGTTGCACACTGACAAATTGTTTTCTATACATGCCTCCATTATATTTTCAACACTTACTACAGCCTTGGACATTTCAGCTAATGCGCTTTTCATTTTTGAACAGCAAATATTCTCATGTTTTGAGACAAAGCTTGACTAATTTATTCATGACTACCTCTTTCTGTTCTTTGTAATGTTTTTTATTTTAAAAATTTGAGAATTTTAAGAGTTTTGTATCAGGTTCATTTAGTGAAATGTATTTTTTCGTGTTTGCTTTCAAGTCCTCAGTTAGCAGATTCATCTCACAATGGCATATTACAGGGTCACGTAAGGAAAGAGGCAAGCAAAGTCTGGATTGTCGTTCACATTCGATATAACACTGCAGCTTCAGTTACATCAACTTTATTACAAAACTAATTGTAAAGAATCACAGCTCCTCTGTGTTATGTTTTAGGGGCAAATACTCCAGAGCCTTCACGGAGGGCAACTGGTGCCATAAAACACTCATCCCTCTCAGTGGTGGTGGCAGTCTACCATTATGAGAACCCTCCTGGACAGTCTCCTACAGTGGTAGAAACTACTGAGGTCTCTCATGTATTGACTGCCACTGGCTGCTGCCCTTCATCAGAAGTACAAATCTTGGCGCTCCAGCAGAGACTACAGAGGCTCTGGTGGGTTCTCCAAAACCCCATTGCTAATCATGTCCAAGCCAAAACAGGACAGAGCATGCACAATTATACTGATGTTTATAATTAAAAATTCTATGCAAAAATAAAATTTATCTTACCAAAAGGAGGAGACTCTCTTCCATCTTCTAATCCTGAATCTCGCTCTCTGTCTCTCTTTCTGTGTTTATGTCCGCGGTGCCTATGGCGTCGGTGACTTTTTCTTCCACCCAGTGGCACATGAACTCCAATGAACAATGTTCGATGGCCTACAGTTAAAAAAAAAAAAAGCTACCTTTTAAAAAGGGGCTGTGGCAACACAATATTAATAACCATGATAGTATTAATGGTATAATAATTATTATAAATGCATAATTGTATAATACTGATTATTCTAATATTAATAGTTGTAACATTATTGATTACAATAATAATGATGATGTGTCACAGATATAGAACCCCTTCATACAGGGCAAAATCCCAGTATTGAAGTCCTTAATATGCAGTGCCAGATTATTGATTTTTTTTCTTCAAATTTGTATCTCTGCGTGTGAACTTTCATTAAAGCCAGACAGGTGTTCTGTAAAATGTCTTCTAAAACAGTAACATGAAGAGACACATGGATCTCTTTGCACTGAACATTTGGTAAAGTTGCTGTTTGCTTTGTGTGTACAGGAACTTTACAAAACTCATTGCTATTTATGAGCCAAACCTTGACAGAATTCTTGTGGGAAACTCACTGAAGGGAAAAGTTAAAAAAAAAAAAAAAAAAGTAGCAACTGAAAAAACAAATCCATACGCAACTTCATGTGCTCACATCATAAATACACTGCTGGTAGCTTAGGGTGCTTTCATTTCATCTATTTTATTTTTTAAAACGCATAAGAAGGTACACAGTTCCATGCCTGCCACCATCTTTGAGCCTAAGGAATTTTATGTTGCTGATAAAACCCAAAAGATTTAGCTCTCTTAGCTAACAGGATCAGAGCACAGTAAAGCATTTAGAAGGGAGAGAGCACAGGGGAAATGCACAGAAAGTACCACAAAACAGAACAAACGGGAAAGGAATCATGACTCACTACAGGCAGGTCTCCTACATTTACTCAGCAGAAAGACAGTGTCCAGATTACTCATCTCAAATAACATTTATTTTCTCCTTGAAATGAGCATAACACAGCTAGTGGATAATTGCTGCTTTGCTGTAATCATTCAGCAGTGTCAATCATCTGAAAAAGGTCAAGAACATTAAACTAAAGCAGCACGTGATCTCTAATCCCATGGAGACTCCAGCAGGGACCGAAAACACAGCAAGGCAGCATTTGTCACAATGCATCAAAGAAATTCAAGGCTGACAGGAATTCTCTGCTGAGGCAGAGCTAAAAAAGCTGGAGAAAAGGCTCTGGACACCACACCAGTGACTTCCTCAACTTAGATTCACACAGAGGAGACTAGAAAGAAGACACATCAATTTTTGGAAGACTAATTCTTGCAGAGTCAGGAGATATTTTCTGAAGCACGGCCACGAGTTGAAAATTTTTTTTTTTTAATTTATTTTTAGATACCTCTTGCTTATTACATTTAACCCAAGAAATTATTTAAAGAGAACAGCTGCTTTTGGTGTATTTCAAATGTATTGCAATCAGTGGTGCATGAAACAGGGAAAAAATGTATGCCATAAAAAGAAGTCATTAAAAAGACACTAAAGGACAGCAGTAATGTGGTACTCAACACTTCCTTGTCCCCTTCCTTGGACAGGAAAAAAAAAACAAAACCAACATTTTGAAAGGAACAGGACTACCCTTCCTAAGACTTAAATAATTTCTGGAGGTGCAAATAGATTGGTTTTTTTAATTTAGTAATTTACCTGCTGCTTTGTGATAGAAGTGGGCATCCTTATGTTAGTTTTGTGCCACTTCAACACTCAGGTTGTACCTGCATCAGGAAATGCAGATTCAGGTTCACACTTCAATTAATTTCCAGGGCTGAATCCAGGACTTGAGTCCACACTGGGAAACAGGCCTTAAGATGCCACAACATTCATGTGTGTCTGAATACAACAATTCTACCTATACAGACAGAATCAGCTCACGCCGAAAAGAAAATAGGAACCTGGGAACTGAAATGGATAACCAAGAAAAAGCAAAATGGGTTTTATTCCCTCTGTGTGAACTGACTGAGGCTGTTTTACCAAGGCATAATTTCAATAAACATAGAGAGGAATCTAGGTCCTTGTAACAAGGTTCAGGCAAATAAGAGGAAAAAAAAAAGAAACTGACGGGGGGAAAGGAATAGTTTTTTACAGAAAACTGATAGAGCAAAAAGCAAAAATAAAAAAAAATTAATAAAGACTTAAGAAGTTCTGGTTTATTAAAAGTGCAAAACTGTGGAGCAAAAAAAGAACAGCTGGGAACAAAAGAAAAATTAATGAATCCTAAATTGCTGGCAAAACGACAGTGAATGATAGAAGCAGGAAAAAAAAAAAAAGAGGAAAGATAAAAGAAATCCAATGAGTAAAGGAGTAAAGTGACCTTACTTGAAGTACTCTTTTGACGGTAAAGATTATAAACTAGTGCTCAGAATGTAAAGTATTTTTTCCTGTACAAGCTGACTGAGACAGTACTGAAGAAGTTTCCAGTGAGCTCTGTAAATTTCCCAACCTCCCAACCAGGAGGCTCCCCTACAGCCTCCAGGACAGAGCAGAGCAGAAACACCACGCTTTCTCTGACAATCCTGCTGCCTTACTCTGGTGAGAAGCATCCAGACCTGTTCCAATGAAGCTCTTCAACAGATTATTTTTTTTCCCCCCTAAAGACTTAGATTATTTGAACATGAGAATAATTTGAAGAGGAGAATAAATGAGAACTCTGCTTAATATAAAACTTCTAACAGAAATACCACATGAACCTTTAACCCATAATTCTAAAAGAAGGATTTTTCCAAAACAACGTTTTCCCAAAAATTCTACGTTTCAAGAGGATCTAAAGAGGATTTGCTTTCATTCCATAAGCAAGCCCCAAGAATCAGCCAGACTCTGTCGTTTTCATGTTGTGCATAAAAGCAGTCATCAGAAGATTTCTGCCCTAGCATAACACAAATACAGGTTGCAGATAGCTCCCGAACATCACTGACATCCTCCCCAAATATGCAAAACTGGGTAAAGATGACCTTTTTTTTTTTAAAAAAAAAATAAAACAGACACTTTAACACCTTCAGCACCTATACTTACTATAAGGTCTCAGTTAATCTGACTAAATTTTCCAAAGAAACAACAGCTATAATTTCAATTCGGCTGAAGTCAATTGCAGGATATCCAACAGGATTCAGATTTGTTGCTTATCGTTCATAACTATTTGTATAAGGGCATTTCCTTCATTTACCTTTAAGAGCTTTTTTGTGTGTGTTTACTATTTACTTCATCAGGATGCTACCTAAAGATGACTGAATATTACTTAAATATTGTAAAATAATTCTGCTCTGCTGTATGTTTGCACAGCGTCTCATTCAATCAGATCATAATTTCTCATTTGGCAAGGCTACAAAGGCACTAAAGTATAGGAAATATTAACAACTGTAAGTAAAATCAGGGTACATACTGTGAACATCAGGTACAACCTAACCACCATTCTCACACAGAATTTACACACAGTTTTAAGCGGTGAGCAGAACAAAAATGGATTTATAACTCTTTAAAGCCAAGCCTTCAAAAATACCAGGCTGGGCACCACTTTTGGACAGTTTTATCACCTGCACTCTGCACCATGTGCTGTAGAGTCCCATCCCCTTAGAAAGGGCTAAAGTTGCTAGTCAAAAATATATAAATGGATTATTGTTTTATATTTTGTTCCATGCTTACAAACCATATTTTTTTTCCAATTGTATTTTTCCAATGGTTGTGTTTTCTTGCAAAAAATGTTAACAGCTGAAGTGGTCAATTACAGTTTATTTTATTATTACTATATTTAGTCAGTTAGCTTGGTTGGCTTCTCCACTCTTCCAAAGAAGCATCCTGTAAAGGAAGAAATCATACTTGAAACATTTCTTTATTCTGTACTTCTCAGCCAAGGACTATGGTGGATATGTTGTATGATACTTTGTGCATGCATGCACAGCCAGCCACACCTAATCAGGTCCATAGAAACATACACAGACACAATGCACTCAGGTACACACATACGGATTTGTGGTTCTGGACACACTTAGGAGTTTGACCTATTGTCCTTTATTTAAAAAAAAAAAAAATTACATCTAATGGATCAAAAGGATTTGTCCTGCTAATTTTTACTTCAAAATAAATGAAAGAATTTCTAGGCTGAGAGAGGTTTATTCCTCTCCATGGTTTACATTATGTTTATGTTACAATTTTAAAAATCTGAATTAATTTAGATATCAGTGAGCCATAGGATTTATCTGGTCTTCCTGAACTTACATTAACATCAATAGAGTTTTATCATGGAAAGACTATGATTTTGTTCCTGCAAAAACATACTCTGAACTAAAATGTTGATTTATTCCAGATGTGCTGCTAGGAAAGCTAAACAAAAGCACATGCATAAGTATTTTCAGTATTAGGATTTAGGAGTGAAACATTTTTGAAAACCAAACCTCTGAGAAAATACATTAATATACAAAGATTATTTACAATCTGAAAGCTTATTAAAGAAATGTAATACACTGAATTGATCTGTTCTGCAATGTCACCTTTATACAATGCTACATGTCCACTGTTAATTTTTTTGAATACTGTTTTTAAAAAAAAAGACTATTCTTAATCAAATTGCACATAGCTGAGCAACAAAACCCAGAATATAAAGTTAGTTCAAATCTATGCATTTATAGCATACAAGGCTTTGGCCACTTGTGATTTACCTTCAAAGCATTAAAAAACTTCTTAAGTAAAAATATTTTAAGGATTAAAGAAATAATTACTCTTGTTTTAAAGTTTTAATTTTACAGGATTACACGAATAAATCCAAATTATATTATAAAAATATTTAAAAGAGATCCTGTTAATTATACTTAATTTTCAGACAGATGAAAGTACATATAAGCATATGTAAAAATCAGGATTTCCATTAAACCTTTGAAGAAAAGATGTATTGTGCTGTAAATATCTGCACTTTGTGGAGGTATGAATTCTTTGCCCTAGAAAAGACAGATATGAAACATATATTATTAATATGAATACATCTTGCAGAGACATTTCTCAGAATACAACTGAAGTAGAAGGGTTGTTTGGGTTACTGTATTCCAAAGAAGAAATTCTTCCTTA